ACAATCCCTCCAAAAACTAGCCACATTGTTCAGAGGGATTCTAGTCAACTTCCGTTTTTAACCAGTTTCTTCGTTTTCTTCTTATAGCGACTCGAACCACCTTTGAAACTCATCATCCTTGGAAACTTTAGGATTTCAATTATCATATTGTAAGCCTATTTCTTATCCAAAATGACGTCCATTTCAACTCCTATGAAAATAACAAAAAATGTGCAAGTAAAAGGGACAAATATCTCATTTAAGCATTGGATTGGATTTAGAACCAATTCTAGCAAATATTGACCATTTTCTTCTTATAATATTGCCTAAGTGACTAAAAGTAAAATAAAATATCATCCAAATATAACACAAATTAGTCATTTATCACTTGATAATTGCCCTATATTTTCATTGACAAGGAATTCATACAAATTTAGCATCACCAGCACCCAAAAGAAAAGATAAAGATAAAAGAAGAGGGAGGGGTAACTTATAGTTTTTTGGCTAACTTCTTGAAGTCGCACCTACGTACTTGTGATTATTTAAAGGGAAAAGAAAAAAAAATGTACTTGTGATTATGTTTTGAATGTTTTCCATCATGTAATACTTGTTATAATTAATTGCCAAGTTGTGAGCTATATGAACAACACAGAGTTAATCTGAGCTAATCTAGCCGCCATTCTGGTTGAAAAATTCACAGCATCTCCCATAACCACTCAACAAAATTCTCAAATACTTATCATGGAATTTGGTTGTAAAACCCTAATTCCAACTAGAAGGCTCACGCGAAAGAGAGCCAAAGAAAGTGCCCAAAGTTCACCAGCCTTATACTAGAAGATTAAAATACTGATTTTAGGGTCATTTTGTAAGTCCCAGAGAAATATATACACATGACGCTAATACCACTCTTTCAGTTGACAACATACTAAGAGCCTGTTTATAATTGCAGTGGCTTATCAATAAACCCTTCAATTAGTAGAGCTTTTGATTAAGATACTTATTAAGTGTTTAATCATATTGTTTGGGTACACATACTTATATAAGTACTTTTTTTATTTGATAATGTGTAATTTTGAATTTTTAAAACATATTTATCTCTTCATTTAGTTCAAAATTTATAATAAAATTGTCAATTTTTTTTTTTGAAATATAGAAGTTACTCTAAAAGCAATAAGTTTGAGTTTATGTTAGAAGTGCTTTAATGACCAAAAATTCTACTTCTAAATTTAAGGAATGATGCTCACCAAACACATTAAAAGTGCTTTTATTATCCAAAAATACTTTTAAGTGATTGAACTTGAATGAAACAAGTAAATATGTTATGAAAATTATGTCATGCATTTACAGTCACCGTGTACTTTTCTGCAAGAGGTTAGAAGTTCAAGGACTTGAAGGGAATTAAACCTCATTTATGACGTACAACCGTCAGCAATATCTGAGGGAGAACGCAACTGATATAAAAGGTTTCTGCAGATCGAATTGAAATCTAACCATAGATGAGATGAGATGAGACCACAACTTTGGTCCAACTCCTTTTATGGTGGCAAAACACATCTATAGACTTTACCATTGATTCGTTTTCTTTTTTCATTTAAAGCTTTCATACAACCCGCATTTCTTTCTTCATATCAAATCACAATATGTACATAAGTGGATCAATTTTGTACAACTTTCTTAAATTTATCTAATTTAGTTGATTGATTTACTTTATCGAAAAAATCAAATATAATTTTGATTGGCAAGGGCGCAGTCCAAAACAAAAGAACATGTATACAAGAATAAAAAGAAAGCCACCCATTAAAATCACCATAGTCATCAGTGAATCCTTTTTCTGGTGATTTAATGCAAAAGAAAAGCCCCATCTAATTGATGGAGTGGGGCCTTTATGAACCAATTCAGGGGCAATAATTTGTTAAAGTGTTATTACACTACAACATAATTGGCCATTTGCGGCATTTTCAAAGCGGCACATAGCTAATTTTGCCGCAATAAAGTGGTATTATTTTGATTATGCTGAAATATTGACCCCGTATTTGGCTTTTCGTGGCAAATTAACGGCACAATTAAATTCCACCGCTAATTGCGCAACTAAACGATGTCGTCGTTGTGAGCTATCCAAGCATTAACCGAATAATTGCTGAATCATATTCATGGCAAGTAATCTTTCCATTTTCTCAGTCCTTCCACTTCTTCTCCCCTCTCAATTTTTCTAAATTTCTTCTGTAGTCCGAGAACTCTATGCCTCAAATTTCTCTTCCAAAACTTTCGATTTTGCCTCTGCTCATCCCTAATTTCTCATTCTATCTCTCCATTTCTCATCAAACAGGTAATTACTTAATCCTTTAGCAGATTGACACTGGATGTTTTTACAATTAATAGCGATGACGAGAAGCAGCAATAGCACCTGAAGTATTGTTTTATCAAAGACGATGCCGTGTTCTATCAAAATTGATGCACTTTCTTGTTCTTCCGATCTTATCCAAGTCTCCACCGATGAAACCAATCTAATTTGAGCGAAACTTTTGAAGCTGGATTAACTTTGAAACTCGTGGACGAGTTGATGAAGAAAGCTGGATTAATTGAAATTTTTGAATCTGGATTACTTTTAAAACTCATGGACGAGTTGATGAAGAAATCTAGATTAACTCGGTAATCTCTTCTTTTAATTTTTTAAATTTCATTATCTTAGCTCCATTGGTGATTTTTGCTCTCAATCTTTATTTAGTTGAGGTTTGTATCCCAACCTTCGAAGATCCTTTTGATGATGCCCTAGTCACATATTGATTTTGGGTCATCTATTTTCATCTCCCGATTCTACATAATTCATAATTTGTAATTTGTATAATTTATAAATTGGTTGGAGAATAAGATTTTGGGTTCAATTTGATGGTTTTGAAGCTGGATGCTTATAAAACTTCAGTTGATGATATGCTGCGGTTGTCAGTGACGTATGTTATTTGGAAATTTCATCTCCTGGCGTACCTTGGCTCTGATTGGTAATTCTGTTTTCCCTACCTCCATTTCCTGGTACGATTGTTAGTCAGTTGAAAAGGACTTTTCTGTACTCAGTCATTTCAGGAACCATTCCATGTATACTGCAGTTGCTAGGCCTTTTTTTCAGTTCCAGTCTTCCAGAGTCTCCCTGGTGGCTAGTAAGTTCAGAGACAATTCAGTAAATAAACTTCTTTCTATTAAGAATTGTTATTTCAGTATTCTAGCTCTGCTATGTGATTTGTGTATGAGACTGCAAGAAAACTTGTTTCAATAGTTGCATGAAAGCTTTCAAATTTTGATCTTGTAGCTGCCTTTGTTAATTTATAAGCTTTTGCATTTGAAAATTTTATTTTTTGTAAAACTGGCTATGATTTTAATTGTCTACATAAAGCTTTCAATGAGAATTAGTAGCTAAAGTGTTCCAATAGCCACCGGTGAAGAACTTCATGGGAATGCCATATAATGTTTTCTTTTATATAAATTAATTGATACTGCAAATTAGCTTAAATTGCCTCTATGAAATGTATTTTCCTTGTCACCATCATAAGGAAATAATGTTCATCACTACATGCAAAAATATTTTGGGGGAATTAAGTGGAAGTTATTTTCCAAATAATGTTGGAGATATGTATTTCTAGGTATCCTGCGATGTTTCATATGTTATATTCTGTTAAAGTTGCTTTTTCTTTTCTTCTTTATGCATGTGAAGCAAGCTGGAGTTCATCTTGTAGAAAGCCTTTTGTTGATTGTGCTCATTGGTTAAAGAGGTTTAATGTTTCTCAAGGTAAAACCAATGATATTAACTTTTCCAGATTTATTCATATGGTCATGCCTTTGCTTCACTTTAAATGTAGTCAAGGTTTGCTATTAGCTCACATTTTCAAAGGTCTTCTGTAATTGTTTTCATGCTCACCAGTCATTATTTTAAGGAGCTTTATTTGTTTTACTTTTGATTCATTTCTGGATCTTATAAAAATTATCTTATTACAGATTCGGTTTCGATATTATGATACATCCATGGCATGAATTAGGAACTTTATGAGTTTTTAGATTTTGAATATTGTGGTTTGAATCCTGCATTGATTCTCTTTCTCTGTTACATTTACTTTGTTACTTAATTTTAAATGACTAAGGTTAAGTTTGTAAGAATGCAGTTACCAAGATTAATTGATTTAGGTAATACTTTGACTTGGGCATGTTCCCATTTTTAGTGCTGCCTCAAATTGATGGTTTCTGTCTGTTTAGTAAAATTCAGACTTCTATTTTGTTCTTTTAAGATTTACATGCTGATGTTTTTCCAGGTGATCATGTCTTTGTAGTTTACTAGTAAAGAAATTAATTGTTCAAATTGGAATTTCTGTTTATGGTGTAAAACTCTAGGAAAATCTAAAATGCATGTCAAAGTGTAAAATTAGAACCTCTGTTAACTACTTTTTGGCCAAGTTTTCGCTACTAGACGTAATAGACCCTCTCTCAAAGTGAGTCATATGAGCTTGAAAATCATCATTGGCTTTTCAAGGAAGAAAGGGACTACAACAATATTGTCATCAATATTGCAAGCAAACACTTAAATAAACATGCACTTTTGTATGTAAGGGATTGAAGACTTGAAGATAAGTCAATTTCTTCAAATAAAGCGGACAGGATCGCTGGACATTAAAGGATCTTGGGGCTACGGACATCTTGGGGCTACGGACATTAAAGGATCGCTTGGATTGATTATGGGCAATTGAATTCATCCCATAATTTTCTGGAGTTATTACTCACACAAAGATTGTTGGAAAATTTTGGATTTTACAATCAGCTTAGCTTCAAAGAACCAGAGGAACTTAAGTCATGTAGACCACATGTTTGTCATAATGCCTATACAGAAAACTAGCTTTGGATTTGGTAACCTGGATTTGGTTTTCTAGCCAAAGGTGAAGTCCACTCCGGTTCTATACACTTCTACATTCTTACCATTTTTAAAGGTAAGGATTTGGTGCTAAGGTTTACAAGAAGTAGTTTGGGCAGTGGTGCGGCAGTCCATGGCTGCCGTACGGCTACCTGATGGAGGGCAGCCTGCCCCCCCTACATTTCAACGCAAATCATTTTCTGATTTGTTCACGAAAAACTCACAGCAGCCAACACTATCCTTTGCGGCACAGGAGGCTACACACAAAGGAGAACCTGCATTGATTTTCCCACAGGCAGCGGTTGAAGCTTTGGCCAGTCCATTTCGTTTTGCATTGATTGGGAAATTCTCTAGAGGTAGACCGAAGTTGGAGGAGGTGAGGAAATTCATTGCATCGCTGGATTTACGTGAGAACCCGATGATTGGCCTATTGGACGCAAGACATGTGTTAATTCAGTTGAACAATGAAGCTGATTTCCATCGTGTATGGTTCAGGAGGATCTGGTATGTGGCTTCATTCCCCATGAGAGTATTCAAATGGACCACAGACTTCCATGTTGATAGGGAATCGTCGGTGGTTCCGCTGTGGCTTCAATTACCAAAGCTCCCGCTGCATTTTTTCAATAAGCAGGTGATTTTCCAGATTGCTTCTATGGTGGGTAACCCTTTGTTGGTTGATGCGGCTACCCTTGCGGTGTCAAGACCAAGTGTGGCACGGGTGTGTGTTGAGATGGATTTGTTGCGGTCGACTCCGTCGCGGGTTTGGATTGGCAATGAAAATCATACTGGTTTTTGGCAAGAGCTGGTGGTTGAGAACCTTCCAAGGTACTGCTCACATTGTTTCCGCCAAGGTCACGATGTGGAGATTTGCCATGTTTTAAAGCCCGAATTGAGAGGAACCTCTGGTCAACATGCCAAGACTACTGGGCCTGATGGGCCTTCCGAGGATAATACAAAAAACCCAGCAAGGTTGATACAAGATGCTGCAGCGATTGATGGGGCAAAGGGAGAAGTTAATAGGGCTGTGGCTAGCAAAGAGTTAGTTGCTCATGATCAGTCACCAGGTGGTACATCTCACGAGCCTGAGCAAGAGGACCAGGTGCAGCAGTCCTCTGATACTATAGCAGCACAGCATGAGAGGAAAACGGAGGAGGAATGTGGGGCGGTGGCTGTCGAAGGTATCGAGGTGGTGATGGGACATGAGAAAGGAGAGGAAGGTTTGAGATTGCAGGGAGTGCGCTGCCCGCGAGGGTGGTCGTGTGTTCTGCTGAGGGACAAATTGATGACATACAGGATTCTCAAAGAAGGGTAGGTACCCTCTCCCCTAGGGGCAAGGACCTTGTCCGACAGGAGAAGTCATCACTACAGACCCGGCATTTGGAGCCGGTGTCACGTGGTCTCCGAGCTGGTCTCCCGTCAGATAGAACACTACGCTCTATGGTTAGTTCTTCATCAAATTCTTTTTCTGTCCTTTCTGATGATTAAGTTTCTTTTTTGGAATATAAGAGGGGTAGCTCGTGCTCCTAATTTAAGACGATTAAGGAAACTTATTAAAATGTATGATCTTCAATTGGTGGTTGTTGTTGAACCTAAATTGAGGGTGGAGTCAATCACTAATATTAGAATTAAATTGGGGATGGATTGTTGCTTGTTCAATCTTTCGGGTTCTGTTTGGATTTTCTATCGGTCGTTGTTTACGTGTCAGATTACAGGGGAGTCTCCCCAACATCTAACTATTAGAGTTAAATCTCATATTTTTCAAGACTTCATTACTTTATCTTGTATACATGCGAAGTGTACGGAGCAGGAAAGAGAAAATTTGTGGAATGCACTTTTGGGGGATAAACCCGACTTCAACCCTTGGTTTTTGATGGGAGATTTCAATGTGGTCATAAATACCGAGGAGAAGAGGGGTGGATTGCCATTTAGACCGTCGGAGGGATCAGATTTTTTGAATTTCATGACGATGGCCGGTGTCTGTGATGCGGGATTCTCTGGTTCAAGATATACCTGGTGTAATAACCGTTCGGGAAGGGCGCGGATATGGAAACGTCTGGACCGCTTACTTCTATGCGGGCGTGCTTTAGAGCTTCCATACCAAATCATGGTGCAACATTTAGGACGTGACCCGTCGGATCATGCTCCATTACTTTTGTCGGTGGATACGAAACTAGATAACAAACCCAAGCCGTTCCGTTTCTTAAACATCTGGACTACTCATCCTGGTTTACTGGGGGTTATCAATGATTGTTGGGCTCAACCAGTCAATGGTTCTCCTTTGCAAGTATTGGCCTTGAAGTTGAGGAATGTTAAAAATGCCCTCAAGCAATGGTCTAGAACGACATTTGGGGATATTTTTCAGGGAGCACGTGATGCCGAACATATGGTAACAGAGGCTGAAACAGCATACGACCTGGATCCTACTGAGCAACGGCGGAGCGAGTTACATCATGCTCGGGCTCGGTTACGCCGAGCGCTTATAGTTGAAGAGGGTTTTTGGAGACAAAAGGCGCGGGTAAGGTGGCTCTCGGACGGAGATAGGAACACCAAATATTTTCATTCCTTGGTCACGGAAAGGAGGCATAGGGCAGTAATTCATCGGATCAAAGATACCGCTGGAGAGTGGATCGATGGGGAATGCCAGATTGGGGAAGCAGCAGTGGGTTTCTTTAAGGAGCTTTTCACAGCAAAGGGGGGCCTTCCTTGCCTTACTGGTCTGCAGATCATACCGAAATTGATAACGGACCAAGAAAACTCACGGTTAACGGACATTCCATCTCTTACAGAAGTTAAAGACATAGTCTTTACTATGGACGGAGAGAGCACAGCAGGGCCGGACGGGTTTACAGGGAAATTCTTTACCTTTGCTTGGGAGGTAGTGGCTTTGGATATATACCGTGCGGTTATCAGCTTTTTCTGCGGCGCTGAACTACCTAGGAGTATCACGACTACTTCAATTGTGTTGTTACCCAAAGTGGAGAACCCCCAAGATTTCAAGCAATTTCGGCCAATCAGTCTATGTAACTTCACTAACAAAATCATTTCCAAACTATTATCGACAAGATTGGCGATAATATTACCCCGGATTATATCTCCACAGCAAAGTGGGTTTGTCCAAGGGAGGCAGATTACAGATAATTTCTTGTTAGCCCAGGAGTTAGTAGCGGATATTAAAAAATCAAATCGGGGTGGCAACGTGGTCATCAAGTTAGATATGATGAACGCTTATGATAGAGTCTCATGGCCCTTTCTACTACAGGTGTTACGGTATTTCGGGTTCAGTGAAACTTGGATAGACATGATATGGCGCTTAATATCGAATGTTTGGTTCTCGGTGCTTGTAAATGGCGGTTCACACGGCTTTTTTAAATCTTCACGGGGTTTACGGCAAGGAGATCCCATTTCACCAGCCTTATTCGTTATTGGAGCTGAGTTGTTGTCTCAAGCCCTCAACAAGCTACCCACACAGAGAGGATTTATTCCGTTTAAAGTGCCTCCTCATTGTCCTATAATTACGCATTTGGCATTCGCCGATGACGTGATTATCTTTTCTAGTGGCGGCAGGTCATCCCTACATTTGATTAAACGAGTTCTGGAAGATTATAGTGAGGCATCAGGTCAGCGGCTCAACCCTCAGAAGAGTTGTTTCCTTACTCATCCACGCTCACCAGCTCAGAGGACAGCGGTTGTTAACCAGGTATTGGGATATAATAGAAGAGTATTTCCGATACGATACCTTGGTTGTCCCTTATATGCCGGAAGGAGTAAGACGATTTACTATACGGATACATATAATGCGGTGGCGAATCGCATTTTGTCTTGGAAGAACCAAATTTTATCGTCAGGGGGCAGGGTGGTATTGATTCAGAGCGTGTTAGCCTCTATGCCAATTCATTTGCTGGCAGTCGCGTCCCCTCCAAAAGGGATGTTGATGGCCTTAGAGAAATTGTTTGCCAAGTTCTTGTGGGGATCCTTGAATTTTGGGAACAAGTACCATTGGTTCAGTTGGACAGATCTGTGTCGGCCGAAGGATGAAGGGGGTGTAGGCCTGCGGGGGTTGAAGCAGGTCTACGACTCATTTTCCATTAAACTCTGGTGGAAATTCCGGCAACAGCAATCATTATGGGCAAAGTTTATGCTCCAAAAGTATTGTGCAGAGCAGCACCCTTGTCTTGCTGATATTGGTCATCGGGGATCCCAGGCTTGGAGGAGGATGGTCACAATGCAGCATTTTGGGGAGGAGAATATTACTTGGATAGTTCGTGAGGGTGCTTTGGATTTTTGGCATGACAATTGGATGGGGTCAGGAGCGCTTTGCAACTAGGTGGATATCTTCCATGATCATTCCGTGGTTGATTTTGTAGATCGACGGGTCTGGAATGTGGGCATGCTCCATCAATTCTTAGATGGAGAACTGGTTAGGCAGGTTCTGGAGCTTGATCCTCCTTCCGGTAGGGGCAATGACAGAATGGTGTGGGCATTGACGAACTCGGGTGTTTTTTCCACTGCATCGGCTTACTCATTGATCAGTCATTCAAATGACACCTCTTGGCTTTTTGCCCGTATATGGCAGCAAGGTCTTCCAGTCAAGATCTCTTTTTTTATGTTACGACTACTACAGGGGAGGCTCCCTCTTATGGATCGACTAAAGAGGTTTGGGGTCTATGGCCCATCTAAATGCTTCTGTTGTCAGAACCCTCATGAGGAGGATTTGAATCATGTATTTTGCTCAGGAGAAGGGGCACGATCGGTCTGGCGTCACTTCGAGAGTACTGCTGGTGAATTTAGTGGGGTGCATATGACACGTCACATGGTGTGGTCTTGTTGGGTAAGGAGGGGAACTAATGACCGTGTAAAATTTTTACAAAATATACTTCCTTCGGTAGTATGCTGGGTTTTGTGGAAAAGAAGGAATGAAGGGGTGTTTGAAGATCGGAAGATGAGGATAAGGGATACGGTGACTCGGATTGTTCAGCTTCTTCATGATTTTCTTCAATCACGGTTCCCGGGGGTGCAGTGTTCTGCTCCTACATGGGAAGGGTTACTTCTCGAGTTGGGTAATCATCAAAGGCGGATGATTATTAAGCCAGTTTATTGGGTAACTCCGTGTGGAGGTTATAAGTTGAACTCAGATGGATGCTCTCGGGGAAACCCAGGAAGGAGTGGGGGGGGTGGACTTGTGCGAGACAGTCGAGGAAATTTTGTATTTGGATACGCGGAGCCCTTCGGAGTGATAACTAGCATGCAAGCAGAACTTCGAGCGTTGTTATGGGGAGTTAGACATTGTGTGATTCGAGGGTACTTGGAGTTACACTTAGAGGCTGATTCTCTCACCCTGGTTCAGATTGTTCAAGGGACCAGTGCGTGTCCTTGGCGTCTACAGAGAGATATGGATGAGTTGATGATATTCAAGCAGTCTTTCCAATCCATCACACACTGCTACAGAGAAGCAAACACACCGGCAGATCATCTGGCAAATTTTGGTGCTGATGCTTGCGCAGGTCATGTGTTTAATACATTTTCAGATTTACCACAATTGGTCAGGGGGGCTATTAGATTAGATCGATTAGGACTTCCTACGTTTCGTACACGGTGTCTGGCATGAATGGGAATAAGAAGCAAAAAAGACCAATGCAGGTGAAAGTGACAAGATTAACCGCTGAGCTTCAAGGATCAACATTCAGATTCACTGGAAGACATCCTAATATGGACAACGGAAGATTTAATCTTAGTATCAGATTTTAAGTGCTTAATCCTTCGCTATATTGTATATTTATTGTCAAATTGTGGTTTGATGGCAGGGAGTTTCGGCCTTTTATAAGGGGAAACTCTGCCGAAATTTTTATAAAATAATAAAATTTTATGGAAAAAAAAACATGCACTTTTGCATTAAACAGATGCAGTTATGCTGAATAAGTAAATAAATTTATATACTGTACAAACTAATCCTTGTCATTCTCATTTCAGCTATGACTGGCTGCTGCAGTTAGCAAGAAAAGCAGAGAGTGCCAGTAACAAGTGAGCCATCTTTTCTCTTTTCTCTTTTCTTTAATTGATTCGTCTCTTTTGCAAATAAGCCTCTCTTTAGGTTTACTAAATCTGAAATGGTATTGTGGTTGAGTTAGAGAAACTAAGGAAGTTTTTCTGGACAAATTCTAGGGGCCAACTTTGAGCAGATTAGGCAAACGAAGTCCATTTTGTTTTATGCTTTCATATGTTTATTGACAATTCCTGATGGAAAGTATATCTTTAATCTGAAGGTTTAAACTTGAAAAGAGGATTTTGAAAAATATTTATTGAATGTAGTTCTATTCGGTTGTGGATGTTGATTACTTTCCCAAATTTGGAAGTGAATTCATTGATGACCTTTCTAAATTCTAGTGTTCAACAATGGTTATGACCATATTTTTTGTGTTATTTCAGGATTTTGAGATGTGAAGATACTTTTGAGAGATATATGATAAATTTGTGTTTTCCAAGACAAGCACTTCTTGGGATATGAAACATCTTATCATTGGAGTGAACTATTACATTACAAGAAGTTCATCCTTTTTTTTTTTTTAAATGATGACTTGTGATAAAGTTCGTAAAATTTGACTAAAGCAGCGTATGATATTTTGTTCTAGTGTATTGTGGAACTTTAATTTTATTCTAATATTCAATTGTAGTATATTTGACCAGGATAAGTATTGTACCATCAAAAGATTGATTTCTGGCCTTTATTAGTGATTTTTGTGCGACACAATTTTATGTTGCAATAACATTATGGAGATTTTTTGTTACACATTTTTTGTGCCGCAAGTAGAGTGGTGACACTCAAATTGGCGTCGCAAAGTGTGATGCAAATACATGCGACATATTGAAAAATTGTGTCGTTTTCTTTTGTAACGGCTACTTTTGTGACACAATTGAATTCCGTCACATTTGTGCCGCAAAAAGGTTTTTGCGGCAGTTTTTTGACTTTACCTTTTTGCGGCAGTTTTTTGACTTTTTCCAGCACAATTCTGGCGTCGCGAAATGTCAGTTTTCTTGTAGTGTTAGTCTTGGAAGAATGCTAGAAACCCTCGATTTCGTTCAAAATCCGCTTGAAAGTGCACCCAAGAAGTGGCTTGGTAACCTAGAGTTTCCTGTTTCCCTTTTGAGGTCTCTTTGTCAGGGCTGTTTCCTATGAGTTCCCAAGTCAAGGGAGTCTATTTTTGAATGAGATGCATGGAAGTAAATTTTGAGTATTTTTACCTTAAGTTGCTAATCTACAATATATACAGGGAAATCAGGAACCAATTGATAGTTAGCTAGACTATCCAACTTTTTAAAAATAGCAAAGTCACAACACTCTAATCTTTGATATATAAAGAAGTTGGGGCTCCGTTACAAAATCAATTGGCAAATGAGAATGGTAGTTCAAGATGGTAGTTTTTGAGCTGGAAATTTTTGAAAAACCAAAGTGGTCATTTTGGCACTTATCACCCCTTAGCACCTGATTTGGTATTGACGATAGTTTTATAATTGAAATGGGTTCCTTTTTTTTTGTGTTTTTTTTGTGTGTGGGGGGGGGGGGGGCGCAGGGGAAATCCAACATTTTATTACTTAACACGTTCATTTTGTGATCGAATTTTGGATCCGCTTCAAAATGCTGACCCAACCTGTAAAAATCGGATAGTTCTTGCGTTTCTTTAGTAGACAGCCATTGCATTTTAGTGTGCTAGTAAAATGGTAGTTACTTTTGCGAAAACACTAATTCTCAAAGAAGGCTAGAAATTTCAAATTTACATATTATAACATTTAAATTTCTATCCAATTCCATATTACAACTTTAGATTTGTAGATTAATTTGTAATATTGATAACGTGAAGTCACTTGTATTGGTATCACCGCTGTGAGTTAGTTGTAATGTCATAAAAAACAATAAAAATTGTAAAACTCAACATATCTTTTAAGAATCCCTGCAGGAGGTCGATGTAAAATGCCCAAGATTATTGAAGTGGGAGAAGAAACTAATAGATCTTGATGCTTTGGTCTAAACAACCAAATAGTAGAAAGATCAGACCTTCATAAAACTTGTGTAACATATATACAAACAAGAAAGACAAAGAAAGATCAATCAAAAACCAAAGCACGCTACTTATTCGAATCATCTTCTTTCAAAGGAAGAAAATTACCGCAGTAGAAAAAAAAACTTGACAAGAAGAAAATTGATATGTGTTTGGATAGGAGATTATTTGGGATAACTTTTTGAAAATATACTATAGCACTTTTTTTTACGTGACATATGTGAAATGAAAATGTGATTGAAAAATCAAAAAGATAATTGAAAATTTTGTTTACGATACAATCAAATAAAATTTTCCAAATAATGAGCTATCCAAACACAATATTAATGAATAGCTAGACGCATTCTTGGATAATTCACAATGCTGAGCCTCATTCTTTCTCTTCACTTGCTCATAGGGCTATCAGGATCATTTAAAGCTGCAATTGCAGTTTGGATTTTTATCTTCACAACATCTGTTTCTTCCTCATTAGCCTGTAAAAGGTGAAAGGAATAGAGAATATCTGATAATTAGTATTAGCAGAAAATTATATATATAAATATATAGAGAGAGAGGGAGGGAGAGAGAAGCAGTGCTGATTAAGATAGATAGAAGAATCCTAATGTCTTTTATTATTTGTATAGTAACACTGAGGAAATAAATGTTATTTTTTCCAAAGGTGCACGTTTGTCTCCATATTTCAGCAGAAGATTTCATTGATATTCTTGCACATCACGCATTAAAAAGCTTGGACTACAGTTAGAAGGAAGTACTTATATTATTTAAGGGTTTATTCAACAATTGCTTTTAATTTTAATTTACCGTCCCATTTCTCTCCATACTATTTCTATTCTCAATTACGAATCGTAGAATTTGAAACCTGAACATAACAACAGGCCTTAATAGAGGCTTATAAAGAAGGCTGTCAAACATATTTCGTAAATATAAAATTGAAGCTAAGAAAGTGTCTACATGCACGAGGTTATGTTAGTGAATTTTAGGTGAAAATTAATTAGACAAAAAATGCCCACTGGAGGAAAAATCCTTTTACAACTACCATTTCAAAACATTTTATACAAGTTATTTTGCATAAGTTTACATAAAATGGTTTGATATTAACATTCCCCTTATATATATTTTTTCTTGTTCTGTAATTAATATAATAATTAGGTTAGTATAAGTATTCTGCCTGACGTGATAGGTGCAGGAGACATGAGATAAGACTGAAATCCTCACAAGTCACAAATATTAAATGTGTTTGCAATCGCCTTGCCGTGCACCCGCTGTTTGACCATATTAAATAACGAAATGGAAAGACAGCGGTACAGTTTTCTTCTTGCCAGACATCAGGAACAGGGCAGAAATCGCTCCCTAGGACACACTTGGATATTCAGATAATTAATAACACCAATCGCCATTGAGGAGGCCATAAATTAGCACGAAATTTTAAAAAGGACAGGTGGTTAAAAATTGTGAAGTGTATTGTGATCATTAAATTAAAAAAAAAATTGAATTGAAGAATACAGGTGGACCCATGTGTCATTTTAAATCTTCTTTATCAATTATAAAATTCGCAAATTACTTCTCTCATTTTTAGTATTGTTTTCATACTCTCAAATCACCAGTAGTTAATTTTTTTTATGATATTCATTAAAAGAAAAGGAAAAATCATTTAAAACGTTTTCCACATTTTGTCGAATAAATTTTTTTGTCCTTCCCTATTAAAATAGTAAATTTATTTCCGTTACAAAATTAAATCGGTAAAATTTGATTCCAACCTAAATTTTCAACCACTTTTTATCCTGAATCTATCACATAATCTCATATAGTCACTTTTTTAGGAAGAAGGGTATATTTTGTTTTTACCATTAAAGGGGTGGAATTTAACATTTTTGTATATATAAAAAATATTGTATGGATCACGTAGTGATTTCAGGCTAAAAAGTGGTCGAAAATTTAGATTGGAACCAAATTTTTTAATTTTAATTTGTAAGAGACATAAATTTACTGTTTTAAAAGTAAAGGACCAAAATATTCTTTGACGAAATGTGATTGATATTTTGAATGATTTTTCCTAATAATGTATTTTAAAGGTTATTGTTTTGAAAACAACACTGGATTGGTGCTTGAACCATGAACTCATCATGATATCGGTCCGGTTGACTAATCAACTCGAAAAGTTATTTAAACCAGCCAGATTCAGTTAAAAACTGGTCGAACATGTTAAAACCGAGAGGTAACCAGACTTTTGACCAGGCTAAAAATTTCCGATTACTTGTCGGTTTGGACATGAGTCCAAGACCTAACAGAAAACTCCAAAAAGGTAACGAAGGTTCTTTATTGCTTCCAGAAAAATACAAAAATTTTGGTTCTCTATTTCTAAAGTAGGACCAAGTTTTATCAAAGAACCAAGTATTACGTACTATGTTAAGATTTGTCCATCTCTTAGGGGTCTAAATTTGCAATTTCTGGAAAAAAAATTGTATCCCACTTTTATCATTTTTATAGAAAAGAAACAACAAGTTGATAATTTATCATTAGTTTTGTGCTTTTATTAAGATCGTTTGTATCATTC